TGAGCAGGGAGCCCGATGCGGGACTCGATCCCGGGACTCCAGGATCATGACCTGAGCCGAAGGCAGTCGCTTAACCAACTGAGCCACCCAGGCGCCCCCACTTTCTTTCATTTTTAATTGCTTTGGAAAACACTTGACCATTTCCTGATAATGTGTTTCTTACTAGGAAGGCAGGTAGAACTGTACTACAAAGACAGTTAAAGCTGTCATAGCATCTTTTTTTTTTTTTTTTTTTGGATACTCTTCTCTTAGTCTCAGGGACAATTGAAAAGATATGAGATACACATGTATTACTTAAAATCTCTTACTGTCCATTCCAACACAGCTTTTATGATGGCTTTCTTTTCTCTGCAGACTAGCTCTGTTTTTAAGGGATCCTTTTAATTAAATTCATAACATGTCTTTTGGATGGCCACTGTAGTTGACTGTTCCCCAGGCCCATTTCTTAGTTCCATAGAAACCATGACATTCACACTGAGGTGTCCCATCTCTGTTGTGTTACTTACTGGTACTGGTTAGTAAAGCTATGATTCGAATCAGGCAATCAGACTCGAGTCCTGCACTAGAAACTGTAATGCCGTATTATCCCTCAACATGGCTAGAGCCCCGGTCTTCTTACCCCGAGGCCCATGCTTTTTACATTATACTCTGCCTCAGGAACACAGCTAATATGAGTGCTGTACACACTAGTTATTACTAATTCTTACTAGTGTGAATAGTCCTGCATCATTTCAGGTCAGGTTTTGCCACCAAATAAGTTATATTTTTTTTTTTTTTTTTTTTAGGGATGCCTGGGTGGCTCAGTCGGTTAAGCATCTGCCTTCAGCTCAGGTCATGATGCCAGGGGCCTGGGATCGAGTCATGCATTGGGCTCCATGCTCAGCGGGGAGTCTGCTTCTCCTTCTGCCTCTGCCACTCCCCTGGCTTGTGCTTTCTCTCTCTGACAAATGAATAAATAAAATCTTAAAAAAAAAAAAAAAAGATTTTTTTTATTTTTATGAGAGAGAGAGAGAGTGTGCATGCGCATGGTAGGAGAGGGGAGGAGCAGAGGGAGAAGCAGACATGAGCCAGGAGTCCAATGCGGGACTTGATCCCAGGACCTGGAGATCGTGACCTGAGCCGAAGGTAGACACTTAACTGACTGAGCCACCCAGGCACCCCTTTTTTAAAGAGTTATTTGGATTCTAAAATAGTAACTAAGAAATTACACATCTGAACTAAATGACTTCGAGAAGTGACACACAAAGTTATGTTTTTATTTTTTTTTTTTAATTTTTTTTAAAGATTTACATTTTTAAGAGCAGTTTCAGGTTCACAGCAAAATTCAGCACAGGTGCAGAGCTTTCCCATGCTCCCCCCACATGCATAGCCTCTCTCATTAACAACATCCCCAACCAAAGTGGTACATTTGTTACAATTGATGAACCTACACTGACACATTATAATCATCCAAAGTCCATAGTTTACTTTAGGGTTCACTTCTTGGTGTTGTACATTCTGTGGGTTTCAACAAATGTATAATAACATGTATCATTACAGTATCTTACAGAGTATTTTTACTGCCCGAAAAATCCTCATTGCTCTGCCTGTTCATCTCTCCTCTCTCACCCCAGCATCTGGCAACAACTGATCTGATCTTTTTACTTTCTCCATAGTTTTGCATTTTCCAGAATGTCATATAGTTGGAATCATATAACCTTTTCAGATTGACTTCTTTCAGTTGGTAACATGCATTTAGAGTTTTCCCATGTGTTTTTATGGCCTTGATAGCTCATTCCTTGTTAGCAGTGAATAATATCCCATTGTCTGGTTGTACCAGTTTATTCATTCACCTATCAAAAGACATCTTGGTTGCCTCCAAATTTTGCCAGTTATAAATAAAGCTGCAATAAACACCTAGATTTAACATGTTATAAACACGCAGGTCTTTGTGTGAACGTATTTTCAACTCCTTTGGGTAAATACTAAGAAGCATGATTGCTGGATTGTTAAGAGTATGCTTAGTTTTGTAAGAAACTCAATTTGTCTTCAAAGTGGCTATACCATTTTGCATTCTCACCCGCAATGAATGAGAGTTCCTGTTGCTCCACATCCTCCACCACCATTTGGTGTTGTCATTGGTCTGGATTCTGGCCATTCTAATAGGTGTGAAAGGTATCTTATTTGAATTTGCAATTTCCTGATGACGTATGATGTGGAGCATCTTTTCATATGTTTATTTGTCATCTGTTTATCTTTGGTGAGATGTCTGTTAAGCTTTTTGGCCTATGTTTTAATCAGGTTATTTTCTTATTGTTGAGTTTTAAGGGTTCGTTATATATTTTGGATAACGGTCCTTTTTTAGATGTGACTTTTGCAGATATTTTCTCCCAGTCTGTGGCTTGTCTTTTCTTTCTCTTGATTATAGCCCTTTTAATTTTGTCAGTGGTATAAGGAATTGTTACATGCTTTCCTACGCATCTCTCTTTAAGTCCTCCCTGGGTATCAACAAATGCCTATAAGTATATGCATTGTTGTATGCAGTCATGCTTAGAGTTTACATTATTAATCCAAAATACTCAAGGACCATATAATGTGCAGAACTAGAGTGCTTCTTTGAAGGGTAAGATTGCATTGAACCCTGTTCCTCATATTGATCCTTCAGTGTTTGGTTTGAGTTTTTTTGGTTTTTTAATTTTAATAATCAACAGAAATTTGAATGTTGAAGCACAGACCACATACAGCTCCATTTGGTGGGAATCTTTTTGGTTCTCTTGATATGCAACTAATCATAGTATTTTCTCATCTTACAGGACTGCTGATGGAGGAGGCTTGGTAGAAAAACACTATGTCTTCCTGAAGAGACTCTGTCAGGTGTTGTGTGCTCTGGGCAATCAGCTGTGTGCATTACTGGTGAGCACTTACTTTCTGGAGAGTTTCAGGGCCATTTGAACAGAGCATTTAGAAAGTTATATTTGTATAATGAGTGGAACATGCCATTAATTTTAGCCTTGTGGAGCATTGCCCTACAGGTTATTTCATACAATTTTTTAGATTAAGTTATTGTAACAGGGTTTGAATGATGTAAATTTCTTTTAACAAGTCAGTTATTGATGTTAACAGGAAACATCCACATCTGTTATTCCATAAAGTCAACATTACTATTCTTGTGAATTTTGGTACTTATAGAACATCAGTTTGCTGAATGCATTACCCTTTAGAGTCCTGTTAGATCATGAAATATTATGTGTTTGAATAAAGAACCCTTTTCCCAAATTTAAAGGATTGTATTATTGATCATAAAAGAAAACTTTAGTGTGATTGACCTAGAAATACCTGTCTTTAGGGAAATATTTAATAACTCATAAGTTGAGAGATAGGACATTGCTACAGACATTTGCGTCTGATGTTATGCCTTTTTATGGTGGTTTGAATGGCTAGAGGATAGAGCTTCAGACATACGATATATACCATCAAATGGTTGTTTAATAGATTTGGTCACAGAGATATGAATAGACTAGGTGTGAAGAAATAATACAGATTTTTTCTTTCTGTGATTTCTGAAATGAATGCTCTTTTTCATTTTAGTATTTGACTACAGAATGAGTTTTAATGATGATGATTAAGGAGGTAAAGCACCTTTCCTCTTTTTAGCCCTTGAATTGATGCCTTCCTTAGGTCACAAGGAAGTATAAAGTCCTTTCAAAACTGAAATTTGTGAGGGTTTAAGTTCTGTACAGTTGACCCTTGAACGACACAGGTTTGAACTGCATGGGTCCACTTAGACACATATTTTTTGATAAATACATGCAGTTCTGTAAATGTATTTTCTTTCTTAGAATTTTCTTAATAACTTTTTTTTTTAGCTTCCTTTATTGTAAGGACACAGTATATAATATATATACAAAATATGTGTTATGTGTTAATCAGTTTACATTATCAGTAAGGCCTCCGGTCTATAGGAGGCTGTTAAGTTTTGGGGGAATGAAAAGTTATATGTGGATTTTTGACCCTTAGCCCCCGTGTTCAAGAGTCAGCTGTGTTTGTTACCCTACTCCTCCCACTATCCTCTTCCACCCCCCATCAACGTCACTGATGTAGTGGTCTTTTTGTCCCTCAGGGTGTGGATTCTGATGTAGAAACACCAGCAAACTTTGGAAAATACCTGGAATCTTTCCTTGCTTTCACAACCCATCCAAGTCAGGTAAACGTTATGTAGGCAACATCTGAAAATTTTAGTTAGGTAAACCAAAATCAAGCACTATGGCTTGAAATAATTAGCAGCTCAGTGTTTAAAATCCTGACTCTTAAGGCCCTAGGAAATAACTCTAGTGTGATTTCATTAAGAGAATTGTTGAGTCGTCTCCCTGAGCCAAGTGTTGCACCGTCTAGGTCAACAGCTTTTTCCCGCAGGTAATATTCTGCTGATACTCAATCAGATGTGAGGTGTGTCCTGGGTGATTTGCTACCAAAGGCATTTTAAATGCAAAAGTCTAATTGATTGTGTTATAAAATTAATTTCACACATTTCAGGTTTTCCTTGTAGTACCGCCCTGAGATTCCCATATCCTTTTTTGCCCTTAAAGTGGTAGAGGGGTACCTGGCTGGCTCAGTCGGTAGAGCATGCAACTCTTTTTCTCCAGGTTGTTCGAGCCCTACACTGGGCATAGAGCTTACATAGAATAAAAAAGAAGAAAAAGTGGTAGAGCTCGGCTGACACTCCAGGAATTACACCTGACCCATAGTTTGTCTTAACAGGCAGTCATTACTGATAGAGTACAATATGGACGGTTTCAAAGTATTATAGAGATTTATTTCCATGAAAAAATATTGTTGATAATTGTTGGGCTAAGTAATAATCTTGGTTATATAAAATCCAAATCCTTAAACTGAGGTTTTTCTTTTTTTTTTCCCCCCACCCCCTTTAGTTTCTACGTTCTTCAACTCAAATGACTTGGGGGGCCCTTTTCCGGCATGAGATCCTATCCCGTGACTCTTTGCTATTAGCAATAATACCAAAATATCTTCGTGCTTCTATGACTAACTTGGTCAAGGTAGGCAATGGGAATCAAAATGTGGAATGGAATGCCTGGGTGGCTTAGTCAGTTCAGCGTCTCGATTTCGGCTCAGGTCATGATCTTAGGGTTGTGGGATCGAGCTCCACATTGGGCTCTGCGCTCAACAGGGAGTCTGCTTGGGATTCTGTCTCTCCTGCCCCTTCCCCTGCTCACTCGCTCATTCTCTCTCAAATAAATCTTAAAAAACAAAACAGGGTGCCTGGGTGGCTCGGTCGGTTGGGTGGCTGCCTTCGGCTCAGGTCATGATCCCAGGGTCCTGGGATCGAGGCCTGCATCGGGCTCCCTGCTCGGCGGAGACCCTGCTTCTCCCTCTCCCTCTGTTTACCACTCTGCCTACTTGTGCTCTCTATCTCTGTTAAATAAATAAATAAAAATCTTTAAAACAAAACAAAACATGGAATGTAGGTGAATACACATAATAAGACTTAGATTGGCATTACTGACAGCCCATTTTGGTCACCAAGATCCCATCGTTAGGCATATTATTCTCTTATTCACCAAGAAGAAGGCAGTCCAAACTGGTTATTATATACACTTTTTCATATTTTGGAGCACTTCTATACAAAGTACTGGGCTAAGTGCTAGGAAGAAGAACAAGAGCTGTGACCCATGACCATGCAGTGGGATAATGCTTTTCCCAGTTTAAAAGCAGGCAGGGTGGCGCCTGGGTGGCTCAGGTGGTTAGGCATCTGCCTTCGGCTCGGGTCATGATCTCAGAGTCCTGGGATCGAGCCCCACATCGGACTCCCTGCTCACTGGGGAGCCTGCTTCTCCTTCTCACTCCGCTACTCCCTCTGCTTGTGCTCTCTTGCTCTCTCCGTCAAATAGATAAATAAAATCTTAAAAAAAAGAACTTGGGTGCAGGAGCTCATGCATTTCAGTCTAATAATAATAATAATAAAAGCAGGCAGGGTGGAGCCAAGATTGCAAGATGAAGTCCTATGTGATTGTTTCTGAAGGTCTAGTGAGGGTCTGAAGGTGAATGAGAAGGGAGGACAGAAAGTGGAAGCAAATTGCTCACCACTTGAGTAGAATTGCTTGTGAATTCCCTGAGATATGCTAAGGCCTCTTGTAGCTGACAGATACTTAATCTTGATTTGTAAAAATCAGAATGGCACCTATATAAGGGTCCTCCTATTTCCTCAAGGAATACACCTAGCACTTGGCACCCTGTTCTCATTCTCTGCCATGGTCTTCAGGACTTTTTGAGTGGAACATGCAAAGTTCCATGCTTATTCCCAGGGTTCAGCATTGAAGGACCCAGATCGTTCTCAATTCTTTCTTGGTTATTGCATGCTGTATTAGCATTTGGGACAGGTTTATACTCAGATACCGTAAACACAATCCAGAACTTAATTCTCCCTGAGGAATCTGGAGGAGAACATCAAATGAGTTTTCTCTTATCTACCACTCTCGGAATTATTGGAACTAGGAGAAAACCGTGGACTTGGGGTAGACCAGAAGCTTATAGAAGATCTCATGCAAACCCTTAACTCTTCTTAAATTAAAAAGTGCTTGAGCTCCTAGAGTTTAAACCTCTTTGGGTAGGTCTGTTTTTTCCCCCTACCCCAATTATCTTTCTCTTTACAGATGGGCTTTCCTTCTAAAACAGACAGCCCTAGCTGTGAATACTCTCGGTTTGATTTTGATAGTGATGAGGACTTCAATGCTTTCTTCAACTGTAAGTGATAGTAGCCTGGAATTTCTGCCAGTCATCTGAGAATGGCATCTAGTATTAGGAATCATGGTGCCTGACCCTTAGGGTTCTATATTAAAGGGCCCAAGATCTGGACAAGCAGCCTGTTTAATCTCTGGTTTCACATTGCAGCAGGTACTGGGATAGTGTTCATTCCAAGTGTAGTATTCTCTCTTGCGCGTTGCATTACACGCACACACATGCATGCACACATACGCAGCCTTTGGACTTTGGCGTTTTGGCATAGTAACTATATGTAAGGCACTTGAATTTTTTTATACCTAGGATTAAATACTACCTTACCTTGCTGGTCTTCTAAAAAAGGAAAAACCCACATTCTGATAACCTAACTCTGTTCTGGGTTTTTTGTAGTCTGGCTGGTCCCCCCCTTCCTTTTTTTTTTTTAAATAACATCTTTATGAGATACAATTTGTTTACCACAACATTCACTCATTTATAGTATACAGTTCAGTGGTTTTTTCTATTTTCAGAGTTGTGCAACTATTGCCACAATTTGCGGACATTTTCATGACCCCAAGAATCCCTGTCAGCCATCCCCAGTCCCCTCATCCCTCCCAGCTCCAGGCAAACCAGTAATCCACTTTCTGTTTCTACATTTCACCTACTCTGGACATTTCATATAAACAGATTATACGATATATGGTCTCTTGTAACTGCCTTCTTTCACTTAGGGTTATGTCTTTAAAATTCACCCATATTGTGGCATGTATCAGTACTTTGTTTCTTTTTATTGCCAATATTTCATTGTATGGGCGTACCACATTTTATTCATCCATTTCATAAGTTGGATATTTGAGTTGTTTCTACTTCTTAGCTATTGAGAATAATGCTGCTATTGGGGTGCATGGCTGGCTCAGTCAGAGTATACAACTCTTGGTCTTGGAGTCATGAATTCAAGCTCCTCGTTGGGCCTAGAGCTTACTTTAAAAAAAAAAAGGAATAATGCTGCTGTACCATTTATGTACAAGTTGAGTGGACAGACATGTTTTTATTTCTCTTGGGTATATGTCTGTATTTGATCATATAGTAATGTCACGTTTAATGTTTTGAGGAACTGCCAGGCTGTTTTCCACAGCAGCCACACTGTTAACATCTGCACCAACCTAATCTTTTATTAATTCCAACAGAAATGGGAGACCGCTTTTAGTTTGCCTCTTAGAGGATTGATCTGGTAGGGCGGCTTCCAGAGACAATTTACTTTTAAAAATTTCTGAATTCGGTAATCTTTATTGAACATGTGTTACATTCAGAGCATAAATCTGCAGAACAGAGTTTCTTTGAACACTTTACTCCTGGGATGGATAAATGAATGAACATTAACTAAGTACCTCTTATCTGCCAGGTACTGATTTATGTCTTTCTCTTGGCAGCGTCCCGGGCCCAACAAGGAGAGGTAATGAGGTTAGCATGTCGTTTGGATCCTAAGACTAGCTTCCAGATGGCTGGGGAGTGGCTAAAGTATCAGCTGTCAACTTCTGTTGATACTGGATCCATGAACTGTAAGGTTTTTTTTATTTCTAAACATTAGTGAAGTATTATATCAAATATACATAGGAAATAAGCCTTGTAAGCCACACTTCAGAACAGCATGCTAATAAGCATTTGAAAATGATCTGTTTAAATTAGGGTAAAATCATGTCCCTGTCAGTCTTGCCTTCATTTTTCTTTCCTAACAGAATGAACCAGTTGCTCATTGTTGATTATATTACTTCACTGTTGGCACCATCTTAATCAAATTGCATGTCTAGACTTTTTAAAGCTTTTCTACCAAATTCTCGCATAGAACCACTCCTAAACTTAGAAAGAATGCCTTGTTAGTCAGGCATTATAGGAGCACTACAGGGACTTTCTCTTTCACTCAGCCACCTCAAAGCCTTTGGAAATGCTGCTTTGTACAAAATCAAAATAACACTTCTGTACCAAATGCATAAGCCAGGTAACTTCTCTGTACTCCATGTCATCTGTTTATTGTCTTATTAATTAATGCATGCTGTGGGTGACAGGATTTAATAAAACAGGAGAAGATATAAGTCACTCCTTTAGAAAGGTTCCATATTTATGGTCAGTTACCAGATACACTAGTTACTTGGCATTCATAGGATTTAACATTTTGTTTTGGGTATTCATAACTGACTCTAAAGGTCCATGGTCTCTGGTAATTTGAATGTTTGTGGAGGCCCACATACGTTGCACCAAGGTAAAGCTAGTAAATGGGAGCACTATATGGAAGGAAGAAAAGTAATTCATAAATCTTTTTGCCTGTGCCTTGCTATTTGAGTGATGTGCTTTGCTGATACTTAGGAACTTGAAGGGTGGCACAGTTCTCTAGAACTTGGAGTTGTCATGAGGCTACTGGATATGAAGTAGCATTTTGTTATCTTATATCAGGTTTTGTTTCTGTTTTGTTTTGTTTTTTTTTTTTGAAAGGATTCTTTATGGTCACAAATATCTTAATTATTTAGATTTTCATGGACAGGTTATAAAGGAGAGGAAGAGAGAGCTTAATTGATATTTGTCAATTGCCTGTGTTTCTTGATGCTTACGTGTGTATTCTCATTCAATATTCAGAATCGTTTTACAGGTAGGACTCACAGAGGGATTTCTGACAGCTCATTGTTAGAGGTGGAGGCAGTATAGGCCCCTCATCTACTTTTAGTTCTTTTCTTTCCCCCAGGCTGAGAGGGATTAGATTATCCTAGTTCTTCAACTGTGAACTTACGTGATCTCTAAGTCCCCACTAAGTCCGCATTGTCTCTCTGTATCTTCTGTGATCCTGCAGTTGTGTGTGTGTGTGTGTGTTTATGTTTGTGTTTTAAAACCCTGTTCTCCTGCAGCTGGAACTGGAGAAGGCAGCCTCTGCTCCATCTTCTCATCTTCATTCGTGCAGTGGGAAGCCATGACTTTTTTTTTGGAAAGTGTGGTCAACCAGATGTTTCGGACACTAGATAAAGAAGTAAGTAACTGTTTCCTGTGCTCATTGCATAATGATTTTGATCTTTTTTTTTTTTAAGATTTTATTTATTTATTTGACAGAGACACAGCACAAGAGGAGGGAACACAAGCAGGGGGAGTGGGAGAGGGAGAAGCAGGCTTCCCTCTGAGCAAGGAGCCCGATATGGGGCTCAATCCCAGGACCCTGGGATCATGACCTGAGCCGAAGGCAGATGCCCAACCAACTGAGCCACCCAGGCACCCCGATTTTGATCTTTTTAAAACTGACAGAGGGATGGGAAAATCTGTGGATGTTCGTCCCACAGAGGAGGAAATGGAAAATCAGAGAGGTTAAATAACATACTCAAGTTCAAATTGCAGGTCTGACTCTAAGCCTACAATGGTCAATATTCATTTTAAGCAGATAATAAGATAAGCCTGTTCATATAGTGAAGCACAGGTAGGACAACTTTTGCAGGGAGGACAGCAGTGGTAATCTTGAGTTGGAAAATCTTTGGAGATATTTGCCATTAAGCATCGTTTTCAGTTTATGGCAGATAGACCCAGTATTCATGTTAGCTGATCCATGTCCTCTTCCCTGAATAATCTGAATAAAGTGGTCTTGTTTTTGTATGCTTCATGTGACTTATTTGTGAGATATAGTGCTTTTTCTCACAAAAGGCATATTAACAAATTAGATCTTAGAGTCGCTAACTTCATCTGCCTGTATACTGATTTGAGTTTGAAATGATGGTATTCAGAGTTTGTTCCAAAATTTAGGTAGGAAATCCTACTTGGATCCTGCATTTTTTACTAAATGAGCTCTTTTTCAGGTTTAAGTGGGACTATCTAATCAAGAAAGCCCTTTATTGAATCAAGGGAAATGGCCCTGGGGTTTCTTTTCCTGGCATTTTTTAAGTTAGACAGCTTGATAGATCCAAATACTTGGATATGATGCTGTTGGAAAGCAAGAGAATGAAATGGTCAGGATTTGTCAGGTGTTTGTCTTTAAAATGTACGAAAGGACTGGCAGTATTGTGGGGGGTGGGGGGCGCCTAGTTGGTTGTAGGCTGGATTGTATGATATGTCCTTGAATATGATGGTATTTGGTCAAAATGCAAAATATTAGTTGGTCAGAAAGTACAAAAAGTTTGGATTGTATATAAGAGAAAGATGTGGGCTGGAGACAAAGCAAAGGTAACAATTAGAAACTGAGTAGGAGTCAGAATAATTGGTGGGAGAAAAATAGTAGAACGAAATTCTTTTTTCCTCAGGAGAATCTTAGATTGTAGTATTTAGGCTTCTGTTAGTGACTTAAAGTAAACCTCTGACTCTCAAACCATTTTTCTGCACCAAAATTAAATGGGTCAGAGTGAAGCGTTCCTAATGAAGAGAAGTGAGTTTTTGGTGAATGTATATATGATGAAATTATTCACCACTTGTTAAGGAAGCTGTAACACTTTATATGTCCCAGGAGTGTGCAAGTGACAGAACTCAGCCTGTCACATTCCCACTTGCTGCTCTCAGTTTCTGACTCTGCATAGCATTGTCTAATCCAGCAGTCTTGCACACTGCTCACTCTGCGCCCTCAATCCCCACCCTCACCCAGGGTCTGTCAGCAGCTCAGCTGGTAGCCTGTGAAAGAGTTTGACCCAAGAGGTTCTTTGGCTAAAAGAGGTTTTTGTTTTGTTTTGTTTTTAAGATGTTATTTATTTATTTGAGAAAGAAAGAAGGCACACACAGGGAGAGAGAGAAGCAGGCTCCCTGCTGAGCAGGAAGCCCGATGCAGGGCTCAGTCCTAGGACCTTGGGATCATGACCTGAGCCAAAGGCAGACACTTAACCGACTGAGCCACCCAGGCATCCCTAAAGATTTTATTTATTTGAGAGAAAGAGAGAGAGGGAGCACGAGTTGGGGGAGGGGCAGAGGGACAAGCAGAGTCCCCAATGAGCTGGGAGCCCAACATGGAGCTCGATCCCAGCCCTGAGATCATGACCTGCGCTGAAGTCAGACACTTAACCGACTGAGCCACCTAGGCGCCCACTAAGAGTTTTTTGAAAAGTCATTCCTCTCATTTGTAGTGTCATTAGCTGAGCTGCTAGCTTATATTTCCAGAAGACTTACTTTAACAATGGATTAATATAGGGAATAACTTTGGAGGGGGGGGGAGAATCACATTTTGAAGAAGACGAGGATTGATTTGCCTCAGATAGCAAGATACGAAGGTACGATATTTTATAGGCAGTGTGGTACTGACATTAGATGCAGCTCACTGGGACAAAATAGCCCAGAAACAACCTGGAGCATATATAAGCATCCCAAAGAAATCAAGAAGGATTGGATCATTTAATAAATAGCATTAGGGAAAATTAACTGTTCGAGGAAAGGTCCCTGGGTCGAAAAATAATGGAAGTAATCACAAAAAAGTGAATAGGTTTAACTACTTTTTTAAAAAACATATCATAAAATAAACTTTGAAAGGCAAACTTGGAACAATATTTGCAATAAATATGATAGGATTAATATTCTTACTATAAAAACTTGTATTTCCTAAACAGTGCTTTTTGAGTACAATTGACATCACAACTTGGGAGACTAATTTGACGACATCTAGTTGAAGATGCCTAGCCTTATAACCCAGCAACTTCACTTTTAAGTCTGTACTCTGAAGAAACCCCTGCATATTGCAGCACTGAGCAACCAACATTCTATAGAATCCTTATGTGTTGAGCCAATGAAAACCTTAATAACCCTCCGTAGATTGTACAGAATAAATGATGTTTATAGAGCAGTGAAAGGGAACTAGGATATACTATGAATAAGTATGAGTCTCATAAGCATGATGGTGACCCCAAACAGCAAGCTACAAAAGTAAACATACACAATTCTGTGTAACCAGGAATATGTACATATGTGGCAGAAGTATACAGAAATGATGGAGTCCTTGAAATTGTGAGCACCAAATTCAGGATAGTGGCCACCTCTAGGTCTGAAGAGGAGGGTATGTACACAAAGCAACCACTCTGTTGGTAACATTGTACATCTCAAAGTGGTCGCATGGAGAGTTAAAGTATCGCTTACACCTTTCTAAAGGTCTGGAATGTTTCGCAATAAGTTTTTTTTCTTTATATGTAAATTAATTAAAACACTAGAATCTAGTGGAGAAAGAGACAAAAGATGAGATTTATATAGAGAAGAGAAACTAATAACTAAATAATAAAGTTAATAAATACGAAAAAAATTCAGTCCTCATTAGTAATTGAAGAAATGCAAATTTAAATAAACTCATTATTTAACTTACTGCAAAGATTTTAGGGAATAAACTCAAAATTGCTGCTGAGAACATGGTAAGAAGGGCATATATTGGTGGACAGAGAATCAATTGATACAGCCTGTAAAGAAGAAAAACAATTTGAGAAATATTCATACCTTTTGATTCAGTAATTCCAGCTGTTGCTGTCCCCAAAAGTCTCTACCTCAAATGAAATAATGGAAAATGTAGCCAAAAAATTTTTGCAAAGATGTATTAGCACTATTGGTAATAGGTAAAGAACTAGTAACATTCTCAATTTCTAGTAGTAGGAAGAGCTACATCCTTAAGATGGCACATGGTAGCATCATTTAGGAAAAGTTTTAATAACATGGGGTAAGGGGCTTGGAATTTTCAGGTTAAAAAGCAGTGTATAAAACCATATGTGGCAACCATATTGCATATTTATAAACCAAATCCTAAAGGAAATTTTACCGAAAGTGCTCATCAGCCATGTCAACATCCTTTTTCATTGTCTGTATTATAGGCAGTTCCTGTTAATGATGGAATAGAGCTGTTGCAAATGGTCCTGAACTTTGACACCAAGGATCCTCTCATCCTGTCCTGTGTCCTCACTAATGTCTCAGCACTCTTTCCATTTGTCACCTACAGACCAGAGTTCCTGCCCCAGGTCTTCTCTAAGGTAAATTCCATCTCCTTTGTAAACTTTGGGTATTTTTGAACTAATTATTTTTTGTGATTGTTTTTGGAGTCTTTGAGACAAGCTGATAAACAGTCATTTATTCATTCATCAACTATTCAGTACTTACAGTGGATTATTATCCTTCCTTACCTTACCCTTCAGGCGTTCTGTTTGGAAATAAAATTACATAAACAGTTGTACCCATGTGGCATTATAATTAATAGACAAGTATCCTGAGAAGTGGAAAAGAATACCTAAAGAGGGTAGCAATGTGCTCTCAGTTTATTCGAAGGGGATTTGTAAAAGGAATGGTTAGTGTGGATCATTTTTGGGTTTCCAGCTTAGGTGAATAGTAGAGAACTACCTGAATGAAAATAATGGAATTGGTAAGAATGAGGAAGGAGGGAGGAGTTCAGTTTGGGAATACTGCATTTGAAGTGTATGTAGAACATCTACGAGAAGATACTTCACAATAAATTGGCTATTTGAGGTTAAAGGTCTAGAGTCTGGAAAATTACAATATTAAGGTGGCATCATCATAGAAGTGCCTAGAGCAGAGGTGAAGCCCTAGGAAAGAGGGTGATGTGTATGTAGAGTTGGACATGTGGTTCAAGCAGGGAACCCTGGGGATTATCATCATGGGGGGGGGCAAAGAATGAGAATTCTCCAAAGAAGAATAAAGATATAGCCAGAGAAATGAGAAAATGTTGTGTTACAAAGGTCAGTAGAACTTCAAAAACGTAGACTCATTTGTTGCAACAGGAATTCTCTAAGAACTGGGGAATATCTATTGGGTTTCTTTCTTTTTTTTTTTTAAGATTTTATTTATGAGAGAAAGAGTGCACGGGGGGAGGGGCAGAGGGAGGGAGAAGCAGACTTAGCAGGGAGCTCAACGAGGGGCTCGATCCTAGGACCCTGAGATCATGACCTGAGCTGAAGGCAGATGCTTAACCAACTGAGCCACCCAGGCGTCTGTCCGTTGGGTTTCTTGATTAGACCTTTGTTAGAGTATAATTCTATCCTGGTGACTAGCGCAGTAGTCATGCTGTATTAGGTAAAAAAGTCCGTGAGGAGTGACACAGTGGAATCAGAGAGGGTATCACAATGGCTGAGTGTTTGGCTGATGGCTTGGATTGTTCGGGGATTCTGTGACCTCCGCCTTTGTAAAATATTTGATGGTAAAGTTGTGAATCTCAAGCCTCTTGTAGAGTTCTCTGAGAAAATGAGCATCTGAAACTTCGTGACACCAATTGAAAACCCTTTTGTTATTTTCGAGATTTTATTGGAAACTTGATGCAAGCTACTATTTAAAAGCATTTTATGCATTTGGTCCTGATGAGTGACCTTTTCTTTCTTACCCTTAGCTATTTTCATCTGTCACTTTTGAAACTGTTGAAGAAAGTAAGGTAAGACCATTAAATCAACCAACAAATCCTAACTTTTGGAGAGCAAAAGTATGAATGCCTAACACCTAAGTCTAGATTTTTTTTTTATAGGTAGAAGGGGTTAGTAAAGGCAGGAGATGGTCAAATGATACAGTGTTTTGTACCAGAGATATTCTAAGGCGAAAACAGTGAACATGTGGATTCATGGTGACTATAAGTGTCACTCCATTAAACTCCCACATTGTGAAAATTGTGAATTTGCCTCTGAAGGAAGTATTTTATGTGTTCTATGCAGCATCTGTAAATTTTATTAAAAGTGGCTCCAGGTTTGTTGACTATGTCTTCCCAGGCCCCCAGAACCCGGGCAGTGAGGAATGTGAGGAGACACGCTTGTTCCTCCATCATCAAGACTTGTCGTGACTACCCCCAGCTCGTACTGGTAAGCTGCTGGCCTCAAACCAGGTAGCCACTGAGACCTGTCAAGTTTAGTTACATTCCTCTGTAAATCCAGCCCTAATTATAGCTCACGTAAATAGAAAACTAGGAACTATAGCTTTGCTTCAAATAAGCATTCTTGAGTTGATGCCTTCTTCCTCTCCTACTTAGTAGTGGAATTAAAAATGCAAATATATTCCTTCGAAATGAGTAGTTCTTTTCCATGTAGATGACCAAGTTTTTCCTGTCAGTGTACACATCTTTCCTATGTGATGTTTACTGCCAAATGGTGTGCCTAATCTTGAGAGAAGCCAGATGCAAATCCCAACCTTTTTTGGAGGGTTTCTATAGGAAATTTAGCACTATTCCAGATTAGAAATTAGTCAAAAATTTCTTCTCTGAATACACAGCAGTTACGTGTCTCCTAACATATATAAACAAACTAATCTTTGTGAATATACTATAAAATTGAAATAGAAAAAAAGACCTATTGTTTTCACAGTTGTAGCATGGGACAGTACAGTTACCCAAACACCCGAGACAAGAACCACCTTCTGCCTAAATTGCCTTACTTGTTTAGGCAAAAGAACAACATTATAACTAAATTACTTAAGTGACAGTCTTATAGGCCTGACCTTCCTAGGAATGCCTTGATTCTCTCTCCACCTTCCTTGAGTGACCCACCTCTCCTTAAAAATCAGACCTTCACCACCTTTGGGTTTTTTTCTTTGTAATCTGCAGCCCAATTTTGACATGCTTTATAACCATGTGAAACAACTCCTCTCCAATGAGTTACTCTTGACACAAATGGAGAAGTGTGCCCTCATGGAAGCCCTGGTTCTCATTAGCAACCAGTTCAAGAACTACGAGCGTCAGAAGGTGTTCCTAGAGGAGCTGATGGCACCAGTGGCCAGCATCTGGCTTTCTGAAGACATGCACAGGTAGAGGAGAGCCTTTGCCCCAGACCCTCACTGCACTGGAGCACCCCTTCTGTATTTGAAGAGCTGCCCCGGGTGGCAGTGTAAGGATGTCAAGGTGTGATGGCCCCATCGGTGACATCTGAAGTTCTCCAAAAGCAGTCTTTTATTCTAATCGCTGAGACTGTCATCTTGAGTTCCGAGGTGTAGGGAGAGGGAAGAAATGAGTAGAGGTGGGCAGTACGGTTGGGAGGCCGCAGAGCGCTTGCAGTGTCTGTATTGTAGTGCCGGCCCGCGTAGACACATGAGCACGGCCAGCAGGGGCCACGCGAAGTAGGCGTCACACACTTGCTGTGCCCATGTAGCATTCTCAAGCCTGCATCCTTTTTGCTAATGACATTTCAGAAGTGGGGAGAGAAGTTTCAGCCTTCACATGACCGCAGGCAGTAGGATTAAATTCCTCTCAACCGTAACAAGTGCTCTTTGGGGCCAAATAATCATAGCTTTTAGCTTTTGTGGAAGAAACTGTCTGTGCTTCGAATCATGGTATGACTCGTCTTTCCCACTCCAACCTTCAGAGTGCTGTCAGATGTTGATGCTTTTATTGCCTATGTGGGCGCCGATCGGAAGAGCTGTGACCCAGGCCCGGAGGATCCCTGTGGTCTAAACCGCGCACGAGTGAGTAAGCCTCTCCTGGGAGTGGGGCGCTGCTGTGGCCGCAGGTAGGAGTAGGGTGTTTAACCATTTGTAGAGTCTCTTACAGATTTATGTTTTTCCTGCGTGCGTGAGAAATCTGGGAGTCTCCACTTCCCTAAGTTTCTCCTTTCTTTTCTTTAGTTTTGAATTCTTGAGTTAGTTCCCACAGCAGAGCAGATGGTCTTTTCTTTGAAGTCATTATTTTGGCTTTAAGGATCCCTAAATAGCTCCGAAAACTGAAGGTATAATGAGGAATTGGGTCAGCAGTGTGCGTCCTTCCTGCCACTGCTGTCTGGCATGTAGTGTCCTAAAGGTGGTCTAACTTGTAAACCTGAGATTCTTCAGTTCTGTGCTATTCAAATAAGCATTCTTCCTGGCTCCAGTATGGCAGAAGTCTTATTAATTAACCTGGCAAGTAGTAGGTTGGTTGAGAGTACCATGAGTGAGGATTATGGCAAGAGGTGTCAAGACAGGCTGGAGGGTCCAAGGTCAGCCAAAAACAAGACGAAATGTTGGCGGTCTAAGCACTTGGTTGTGAAGCAGCATCCAGGCCACCTTTTCATTGGGATCCTGCAAGAGGGTCAACTGCAGCCCTTGGAAGGACAGCTTCATGTAAAGGAAACTTCAAGAGCCTACCACTGATGCAGAAGATGGCAATGAAAGGACCCCTCTTAGACTGACCCTAAAAGAAGGAACAGGATGGGGTGGGGTCCTTTCCTTCTCTCTGGCCTGTGGTATCACATTTGCTATAACCTTGCATATGTGTAATAACACTTTTGATTTTTCTTCCTCTTTATGTTTACCTTTTGTTCCACGTTTTTCTGTAGATGAGCTTTTGTGTATATAGCATTCTGGGTGTTGTGAAACGAACTTGCTGGCCCACTGACCTAGAAGAAGCCAAAGCTGGGGGATTCGTGGTGGGTTATACGCCCAGTGGAAATCCAATCTTCCGTAACCCCTGCACAGAACAGATTCTGAAACTTCTTGACAATTTGCTTGCCCTTATAAGGTGAGTTGAAATAATGGTTTTCTGTTGTTTTATTTTTTTTACCTTAAGAATCTCAAAAGTGTAATCTGTTGATATTTCTTCAGGTCACAGTGGTTAGTAAATGAGGGATTAGTTCTTTCTTTCTCGACTGGGATCCCTTTTTGTAAAAATAACAGTAGTCCTCACTCGCGTAAGTCTTGCATTCCAAGTGAACACCTGACGGCTGATCCCCAAATGGCTTTTCTCATTTGGAGCCTCTTCTCTATGATCCTCTCCTACTTCCTTATACTTTATCCCTACTTTTTACTTTAGGTTTTATTTGTCCAAATTTTTGCCACTAAAGGAGTTGTTCATTGGGAGCAGGACAGTTGCTTTCTTAGTGGTGCTTCTCTGATATTCAGATGAGCTCATCTGAATTTGTCAATAACAACTCTACCCGCCAGTGGACCAAACATGCAGTGGCTGATCATGCCCAAGGAAGGCATGATACGTGTTCCACCTCCGTTTCCTAGGTCTTTAATTCTCAAAGCTGAGTCCTCAGACCAGCAGCAGCAATCACCTAAGAGCTTGTTTGAAATGCAGAGTCGGGACCCCAACCCAGACATACTAGGTCAGAATCTGCATTTTTAACAAGATCTCCAGGTGGTTTGTGCTTACATTAAAGGTTCAGAGTCACTGTTAAAAATCACATGAACTAATGTATTCAAGTGGAAGTGGGCCAGGCCCACGCTTGTTCATTACCTGAGGTTTTGATGATTCAGGGACACGCTACAGAGAAGAGTAGGCAGTGGCTAGAATTCAGTTCTTAACTGGCCAAAGCAAGGTTTGATTCTTTTTTATTTCATTTATTTATTTTTTTTAAAGATTTTATTCATTTATTTTGAGAGCGAGCGAGCGGGGAAGGGGCAGAAGGAGAGGGAGAAGCAGCCTCCCCGCAGAGCAGGGAGCCCAACTCGAGACTTCTTCCCGGGACCCTGGGATCATGACCTGGGCCGAAGGCAGGCGCTTAACTGACGGAGCCACCCAGGTGCCCCTTGATTCTTTTTTAGCTCTCATAGTATTTCTGAGTTACAGGTTAGAGCTCTGTTCCAGTGGGTTTTGGCCTCTTACCCAGGGTGGAAGAGCAGCATCTCAACTGGGCGAACCAAATTACTCATGTCCCTGGGACACTGTACTAGAAGCAGACTCCCTAGATCATCAGCTTAAGAATCCAAGGGTTTAAGTTAAGGTTGACCAAACTGGAGAGCTGGAGTGTCTGAAAGAGTGGTCATTGGGGATCTGTGGAAAAAGGCCTTATTTTGTTCTGATTTCAAAAGGAAGAAAGACATTTCAATAAAGAAGTATGGTTTGCATATTGAGAGGGTAGTAAATATGAAGTCAAGAAAATTTTTGCTTCCATATTGATGTTTTTAAAACCAGAAGGTTCTTCTGTAGCTTAGAGAAAAGTGAAAGTGATGGAATCAGGTAGCAACATACTGTCTTTTTAGGCTTGTGGCCAGAGTCCATGTGGTGGGAACCCAGACCCGGAAAGAAAGTTCATTCCTGGTTGGGCGAAACCACAAGAATATATGGTTGCCATCTTGTTACTTTTCTAAGAGTTCAGTGTTTTGGAAAATCCCGAAGTCAATCAGAAGATATTTTGAAAAATGTTCACCACAGTTATGGAGCAGTTTGATTCTTTGAATAATGTATGTCTGGAGCTATTAGAGTCTTGTCTTGTTTTTATAGTAACTTTCATCTTGAAGGATAATGTAAGGGCACAAATAGATCTAAGGAAAGAATAGGAATTATGAGTGCATGTAGCTGAATTTTCACAAAGGAGACACATCCCTGCAATCAGCACCCAGATCAACAAACAACCTTAGCAAACACCTCTTTCAAGTCATTACCTGCCCCTCAGGGGTAACCACTATTCTGACCTTTCCACATTTTGCCTGGTTTTCTGAGTTTTAATAAATGTAGTCCGAAGCATGTATGCCTTCATGTCTTGCTTCTCTTGCTCAATAATATGTTTGTGAGAGTCATCCGAGTTATTGCATGTCATTGTGGTTTGTTCATTCGCATTGCTGGCATGGTAGTCTGTTGTGTAATTACTCGGTCACTTATTTATTCATTTAGAATTGGTGGACTTTTGGGGCGCCTGGGTGGCTCAGTCATTAAGCGTCTGCCTCGGGCTCAGGTCATGATGCCAGGGTTCTGGGATCGAGCCCCGCATCGGGCTCCCTGCTCAG